TTCGAACCCTCCACCTTAGGTGTATGTGGCTGGCACCTCAGCCACTTGAGCCACAGGCGCCGAGCCCCAAATGTTTTGATAATCTCTAATTTAGTAATTCCACTTATAGAAATATTATCTAGGGAAACAATAAATTCATGTTTATGAATATTAATAAAACATAATTTTCACTAATGGAAAAATACTGGAAATAATCTAATAAGGGAGAATAATTATATTCATTACAGTTTTTAAAGGATTCTTACTAACATGGGAAAAAGTATAAATTATAGAGACTAGTATAATGTTGAGAGAAAAATAAGATTACAAAACATACAATTATTTCAATTGTGCAAATACATATGATATACATTTTTAAAATATATCATTGATTGCCATAAAATATACCAAAATATTAGCAGTTGTCTTTGTATTGTAAGATTAAAACTGATATTTTAGGCCAGGCACAGTGGCTCACACCTCTGTGAGTGTAATCCTGGCACTTTGGGGGGCCAAAGCGAGTGGATCATTTGAGCTCATGCGTTCGAGATGAGCCTGAGTAAGAGTGAGACTCATCTCTAATGGAAATGAAAAACCGAGGCAAGAAGTTTGTTTGAGCCCAGGAGGTTGAGGTCACTGTGAGCTGTGATTCCATGACACTCTACCCAGGGCGACAAAGTGAGACTCTGTCTCAAAAGAAAAAAAAAAAAAAAACACCTGATATTTTATGTCTTAAGTTTTCTAGAGTCAATGTGTGTTATATGACTTTATGATCTGGAGGAAGACAGTAAAAAAGGCAAGAGTGAGAGGAGAGGAGAGGAAATAAAGGGAATCCATCAGTGAGACGGAAAGCGGGGGCAGCCACCAGGGAGCGGGACCTGAAACCAGTGTGTGTGTGGGGGAGTTTCGTGTTGAATAGAGTAGAAGGGTGAAGTCAGACAATGATTAAAGAATCTCTGCACGGGTACCTGAAGTCAATTACACGCAAGCAGCACATGGAATTGCTGCAGTTCCATGTTCAATTTCATGACATTTCCCTTGGCCAAGAATGTACTAAGTTCAAAACATTCAGCAAACAATGGCAAGAGCCCCCAGAAACAAACAGCGGATTTTCCTGATAAATATGGTGATGCTGTATTAGCTCGTAGACATATGCAGTGACACAAACTGGAATAGAATGGAACCTGTCCCCTGTTGGCAGAGTCACCCCAAAGGAATGGAGAGATCAGTAATCATCCCAGCTTGTGTAATACTGAGTTGTTTTAGAACCAACTCATAATTGATGCCAAGTAAAAGCATTGTGCACCCATTAAAATATGGCATTATTGAAGAAATAAAGTACATTTGAAACCTTAAAAAAACAAAAACAAAAAGAATCTCCACAAGATTTTGCAATCAGGAGGTTGCTGTAACCTTAGTGGAGCAGCGGGAGTGGAAGGCAGGCTGCAGTGGGTTAGCAAGAGAAGTTTGACTGTAAGAAAGGAAGAGGAAAGAAAGAGGAGGGAGGGAGAGGATGGGACTGAGATGGTGGAGTGAGCTTACTTTATGTTGAGTGGAAGGGACAGTAGAGAGGAAAATGAAGATTCAGAAGCCAGGAGGACTGGACGGAAGTGGGCACTACAGACAAAAAGGCTGGTGTCCAGGGTAGCCTGAGCCAGGGGATGGAGGCCTCTTGCTTAAAACGAAGAGAAGGACAGGGATGGACAGACGCTGAGTCAGTTGGGAGAGTTCTTCCCTGATGGCCTATGGACAATGGCTAGGAAGTAAGATGAAGAGGTGGCAGGGGGTCAGTCACGAAATATCAGCCTCAGGGCCCGTTTGTCAGCAATATCTCGACTCTCTCCCTCCCAGTATCTCATTAGGCATCACGTGCTCTAACGTGCTTTATCTTTCAGAGTTGTGGAAAGTAAAAACTCAACCTTACCAAAAGGAACTATCGTAGTGGCATTTTTAGGCTGGACATCGCACTCTATTTCTGATGGGAAAGATCTGGAAAGGCTGCCGACAGAATGGCCAGATACAATACCACTGTCTTTGGGTCTGGGGACAGTTGGCATGCCAGGGTGAGTTTTATGGGTATATTGCATTTATTTGAATGCCTGAAACTCTGGTTTTCCAAAATGGTCTATATCAGATCTTGATCACCAAGAAGAGAGTTGAGGCACTACAGGCACAGGGGCTGATTAGAGAAGCTGATAGGAATAAGAAGGGGAGAACCTAAGTGGCTGCCAACAGATGGCCAGGTAAACAAAAATGTGGTACTTACATACAATGGAGGAATATTCAGCCTATAAAAAGAAGGAAGTCTGTCATTTGCAACAACATGGATGAACTTGGAGGACATTATGTTAAGTGAAACAAATAACTATATACTTTTACTTATATGTGGAATCTAAAAAAGTTAAACTCAAAGAACTAGAGAGTAGAATGATCATTCTATGGCGAGGAGGCTGAGATGTGGAGATGTTGGTCAAAGGACACAAAACTTCAGTTAGACAAGACAATAACTTCAAGAGATTTGGCTTGGCGCCTATAGCTCAGGGGCTAGGGCTCCAGCCATATATGCTGGAGCTGGCGGGTTTAAACCCAGCCAGGACCTGCCAAACAACAATGACAATTATGACAACAACAACAAAATAGCCGGACAATGTGGCAGGTGCCTGTAGTCCCAGCTACTGGGAGGCTGAGGCAAGAGAATTGCTTAAGCCAAAGATTTTGAGGTTGCTGTGAGCTGTGGCACCATAGCACTCTAACCAGCGCAACAGCTTGAGACTCTGTCTCACAAAAAAAAAAATGCTAGGTGTGGTTGTCCTCATGGCCTCATGCCTATAATCCTAGCACTCTGGGAGGCCGAGAAGGGAGGATCCCTTGAGCTTAGGAGTCTAAGACCAGCCTGAGCAAGAGCAAGACCCCCATCTCTAAAAATAGCTGGGCATTTTGGTGGGTGCCTATAGTCTCAGCTACTGTGGAGGCTGAGGCAAGAGGAATACTTGAGCCCAAGAGTTTGAGGTTGCTGTGAGCTGTGATGCTACAGTACTTTACTGAGGGTGACAAAGTGAGACTCTATCACCAAAAAAAAAAAAGCAAGATCCTGTCTCTACTTAAAAAAAAAATAGAAAAATTAGCTGGGTATTGTGGCAGGTGCCTGTAGTCCCAGCTACTTGGGAGCCTGAGGTTGGAGAATCACTTGAACCCAAGAGTTTGAGGTTGCTGTCAGCTAGGGCAGTGCTATGGTAACACAGTGAGGTTCTGTTTGTTTTTCTCATCTTTTAAATGGACCCATGACTCTGGGCTATGGAAAGGGCACTGAGGTGTACATAAGTGAGTTACAGGGGAAAGAAACAAATCTATTCACGTATCCTTACTTTTCTTCCCTTAGCATAACTGCCTACTTTGGCCTACTCGACATCTGTGGTGTGAAGGGTGGAGAAACAGTGATGGTTAATGCAGCAGCAGGAGCCGTGGGCTCTGTTGTTGGGCAGATAGCAAAGCTCAAGGTAAGTATCTTCCTCCAGTGACAACCATTTATTCAAGACCCAGCAGATTTTCTTTGGTTTTAGGGAGTATATAGTCTAGTGAATCTTGCTTAGAAGTTGGAGATGGAGAAATGGGGGAGCCGGGTGCAGTGGCTCACCCCTGTAATCCTAGCACTCTGGGAGGCCAAGGTGGGTGGATTGCTTCAGCTCACGAGTCCAAGACCAGCCTGAGCAAAAGTGAGACCCGGTCTCTACTAAAAATAGAAAAACTGAGGCAAAAGGATCTCTTGAGCTGTCATTGGAGGTTGCTGTGAGCTATGACACCACAGCACTCTACCCAGGATGACAGCTTGAGACTGTCTCAAAAAAAAGAGAAATGGGGAAAACAACAAAGATAAGCTGAACATTGTTATTTGATAACATTCCAAGTATCACGTCAAGAATGGCCTCATCTAGTAGTGAGTTTGTAAACATTAACTATTTTCATATTTTTTACTGAACATTCTCTTGCTACAGTTTAATCTCCTTCATGACGATCCCAGCAATAGAAGGAGGGACTTAAGCTCAGCCAACCAAGAGTCATTACCCATGTGGCCCCATTGCAAAGGCTGTTGCACCAGAAAGTAATGGGCATTCAGCCCAAAGCAGTGAAGCCGTAGCTTGGGAACTAACTCTCGAGAGGTAGTCAGGACACAGAAATGTTGGTTCCATTTGGGGCGGGTGTCTTCTCAAGGGATCCAATCTGATGGACCCAATCTGAGGGCAGGCAGACAAGACAGCAGGCAACTCAGACAATCAGGATTTGTTATTACATAGTGAGAATGTTGCAAGGTGCTCTGGCTTATCTCAGCCTTTGCCAGAGGCTGGGATGCATGATTCAAAACCTAGTTCACAAAGGGACAAGTTAGCTGGAAGAATATAGATGTGTATAGGACTATAACCAAAGGATAGGGGGGCAGTCACCATGAGAGCTGCCCTTTATATGGGAGTCACAGAGCTGAGGCAGAATACTAGTCTAAAGAATCACTGTACTGAGAGAATCCTTGGAAGGAAGAGAAGCCAAAAATAAAGAACCAAGGAAGTCAAATGAATAAGGTGTTAAACCAGCATGTTGAAACGAACTGCAAACCAGACAAACGGAGAAGACATCTGCGGGGTGCCCAAGCAAGGGGAGGTTGAGTTGCAGGCTGGTAGGGGACGAATTTCACCTTCGGGTTCTGGTGGCCCATTATGGGATATTTCTCATCTACGTGGCTCAGCAACTTGGAGGGTGTTCTTGGGGAACCTAATCATGCTAGACTAGGAAAGCGGTGTTGATCCACACTTGTGACTTATTAATGGTTTCTATTTTCTCCCCATTTAGGGCTGCAAAGTTGTTGGAGCAGCAGGGTCTGATGAGAAGGTTGCCCACCTTAAAAAGCTTGGATTTGATGTTGCCTTTAACTATAAGACAGTAGCATCTTTGGCAGAAACTTTGAAAAAAGCCTCTCCTGATGGTTATGATTGTTATTTTGATAATGTAAGTACTAGCTGGACTTACTATGTGACTTATAGTGCTATGTAAGGGAATATACTTCTATAGTTTCTATGTAGAATATATGTACTTAGGCCTCTAAAAACACTTTATTGAGATACAATTCACATGCCATATAATTTACTCATTCAAGTATAGAATTCAGTGGTTTTTAGTATATTCACAAAATCATACAACTATCATCACGCCTGTAATCCTAACGCTCCGGGAGGCTGAGGTGGGCAGATTGCTTGAGCTCATGAGTTCGAGACCAGACTGAGCAAAAGCAAGCCCCCATCTCTACTAAAAATAGAAAAACTGAGGCAAGAGGATCTCTGGAGCCCAAGAGTTGGAGGTTGCTGTGAGCTGTGATGCCACAGCACTCTACATAGGGCAACAGCTTGAAACTCTGTCTCAAAAAAAAAAAAATTGGTTTTAGAATATTTTTATCTCCCCCTCCAAAAGACACACTACCCATTAGCAGTCACCTTCCATTCCCCCCACAAAGTGTCTTTTGTGACTGGATTCTTTCACTTGGCAAAATGTTTTTAAGGTTCATTCATGCTGTAGCACTTATCAGTACTTCCTTTTTTATAGCTGGGTAAAATTCCATTGTATGGATGTACCACATTTCATTTATCCATTTATCAGCTAGTGGGCATTTGAGTTATTTACACTTTGGGGGAATTATTTAACATTGCTATGAACATTTACGTGCAAGTTTTTATGTGGACATGTTTTCATTTCTCCTGGATATACACCTACGAGTAGAATTGCTGGCTCATGTGGTAAACTCAGGTCTAGGGTACTGCCAAACTGTCTTGCAAAGGGGCTTACCTTACTTACCTTCCAACCAGCAGTGTATGAGGGTTCCAATGTCCCCACATTATCCCCTACATTTGCTATATTGGTCACTCCAGCAGTTTTGAGAGAGACTGTTTATGATCCATTATTTCACTTCCAAGAAAAATAGTTGACATTGTCCTTTCTGATTCACCCCTGCAAGTTTCCACTTGCTCAGCTTATCAGTGTTGCTAAGAAGGCTTCATTTGTTTTCTCCCCTGTGGATTTTACATTTGATCCCTATTTGTCTTTTTGATGACAGCCATCCTAGTGGGTTGGAAGTGATATTTCATTGTGATTTCAACTTGCATTTCCCTTTAGCTAATGATACTAAGGATCTTCTATGTACTTACTGGCCATTTGTATATCTTCTTTGGAGAAATGCCTTTTCATTGTACATTTTTCAATTGGGTTATTTGTGGGGTTGTGAGAGTTCTTTATATAGTCTGGAAACAAAGTCCCTTATTAGATTCTGTCGATTTTCATTATTTGCAGTAGTTATATTCTATAAAGTCACTGCCAGGGCTGAACCACATATATACACGTACATATATATACACATATCTCACATAGACTGTAATCTTAAATTCTAAAAACAGCTCATTCTAATATATTCTATTTTATTTTATGAAAGAGAAAAGGAAGTTCAGAAACATTGCCCCTAATACACTCAGTGTTGGAATTCATACCCTATCCGACTCTCCCCAGAACCAGAGCTTCTTGAATTACGCTGCACTGCCCCCTACTGTCTCCATCCTCTGGTCATCTCTGTATGAGATTTGAAACAGGAAGGCAGAACATTGCTGTGGTGTCACAGCTCACAGCAACCTCAAACTCTTGGGCTTAAGAGTTTCTCTTGTCTCAGCCTTCTGAGTAGATGGGACTACTACAGGTGCCCAACACAATACCCGGCTATTTTTTTGTTGTTGCAGTTGTCATTGTTGTTTCAGCTGTCCTGGGCAGGGTTTGAACCTGCCAGTCTTGGTGTATGTGGCTGGCGTCCTACTGACTGAGCTATGGGCCTTTTGAGTATTTTTCTATACTTTTAAATTATAAGACAATTAGATTATTAGGCCGATCAGAGAATTCTAACATATAACAAAGTAAAAATATAAGGTATGTTCTTAGCATCAAATGGAATTAAATGCCTATTTCTAGTGTCTTTCTTTAAATGAAATTTTCTGCATTTTTGTGCTAATTCAATCAGTTTTGTCGCTGCTAAAACAAGTATTATGAAATAATGATTGTGACTTAATGATTCTCCTGAATCTTCTAGTGTTTTGATTATTTTTGCTTTTGTTTTCCTGTCCATTTAGGTAGGCGGAGAGTTTTCAAACATTGTTATCCCTCAGATGAAAAAATTTGGAAGAATTGCTATATGTGGGGCCATCTCTACATATAACAGTACTGGCCAACTTCCACCAGGTAATAAGCTCATGCACGTGGTCACAGACGCAGAAAGGCTAGACATGGAGAAGATTCACAGATATGGTAGGCCAGTGACTGCCAAAATGTTAGATTAATACTGTGTGTGGAAACTAAAAAAAAAAAAAAAATTTCATATATTCTTGATGAAATAAAACAATAGTATTTATTAAGATAAAAATATATAAGGTTAGATTAATACTATGTGTGGAAACTAAAAAACAATTTTTTTCATGAAATATAACAAAATAGTATTTATTAAGATAAAAATATATAAGGCCAGACACAGTGGATCATGCCTAAAATCCCAGTACTTTGGATGCCAATGGCAGGAGGATCCCTTGAGATTAGGAGATCAAGACAAAGCCTGGGCAACATAGTGAGACCCCATCACCTCATTGCTACAAAAAACCCTAAAAATTAGACACTCTTGGTAGCGCATAGTAGTCTCAGCTACTGCAGAGGCTGAGGTGGGTAGATCACTTGAGCCCAGGAGTATGAGGCTGTAGTGGGCAATCATTATGTCATTGTATTCCTACCTGGGTGACAGAATGAGACCTTGGGTCTACCTGGGTGACAGAAGGAGACCTTGTGTCTACAAGTAAATAAACAGGCTCAGCACCTATAGCTCAGCAGCTAGGGTGCCAGCCACATACACCAGAGCTGGCAGGTTTAAATCCTGCATGGGCCTGCAAAACAACAATGACAACTACAACCGAAAAATAGCCAGGCATTGTGGTGGGTGCCTGTAATCCCAGCTACTTGGGAGGCTGAGGC